TTTTTTTTCACTTTTCAGCATATATGCAACACTGTAAACACATTTCAAGAAAAACCGATAGGCTTGTTGTCATGAAACTCACAGGAGTAATTGATCTTACTAAAACGCAAGTCAAGTTCGAAATCGGCATGCAGCCTGAGTTGGAAAAGCAGTCTAATTGGCTTCTTTTTCTGGAAGTTATACATGTTCAAAGTGTGAACTTGAACTCCCATGGGCCTGAAGCCTTATGCTTGTTACACATTTTACTTACATTGGTATTACCTGTTGAGCATAATTAAAATTTGATGTTAAATTTGCAGTTTAACATAATGTACTTTTGCATCAGAATTGACATTAGCCTATTTTGTGCATAGTTATTTCCTGCTTTTTGTCTGTACATTTGACAGCTTTGCTGCCTTGTTAACTTACTGATAGTAATATTGTGTTTATAGATTTTGTAAGGCTATACACTTAAAATGGCTGTGATATATTATGAATTTTAACAGAGCGTAGTTGGCCACCCCTAGCAAAACTGTTTACTGTTTGCAACAATTTTGTGATGTTTTAAACTTACAAATATAGCTAATCCAGTATTGATTTTGTGCACAATTTTGTGACAGATATGTATTTTCTTTTTCCTACAAAAGGATGCTGGAAAATTTTGCTTGACCTATGAAGCCTCAATGACCAGACTGTTCAGGGAGGGTAGGACAGAAACTGTCCGCTCCTGCACAATAGATGCTGCCAACTTTGCCAGAGCCATGGATGACAAAACCAAAACAGTAAGTGTAACCTTTGATAAGTTTAAGCTGATTATGATTGTACTGAAAATGACAGTATTTCCTATGCATATGAGTTGTAACATATCGTCAGATCATTGTCATTTATATTTATCATTCCAGAAAGCTGAAAAGATGGCCCTGTTCAAAAAGGCATCAGAGACTCATCAGGAATCATACCGCCTGGCCATGACTGGCAATGGCATCGACAGGCACTTGTTCTGTCTATATGTGGTTTCAAAGTACCTCGAGATTGAATCTCCATTCCTGAAAGAAGTGCTAGGGGAACCATGGAGGCTGTCCACTAGCCAGGTATGTATATTAAAGCCCTGATCCCCCCCCCCTCCCCCCCCCTTCTCCCTCTCTCTCTCTTTCTACTTGAAAAAAAATGACACAGAGCAATTTGAGCAATAAGAATAGAATAGTCCAATTATATAAATTTCTGATATGTAAGTTCAACCCTTTGATATGAAATGCCATATATGTTTATAACATAATATTAATCGCCATTTACATTTTATTTTAGACACCGCACACCCAGACAGACAGATTGGATTTGTTGAAACACCCAGACCATATTTGTGCAGGAGGTGGCTTTGGGCCAGTAAGTCATGGCTAAGAGATACTGATGCATGCATGTGTGCGCGTGCACACACACACACACAATATTGTTTATTGGCAGTTTCTTTGTGGCTGTCATATTCATTTACTTATGACAGTTACTATTATGGGTGTAAAATTGAAGCCACCAATTAATTGTTTAAAAATATATGTGTTTTTATATTGTAATGTCTAAATATGTGTTTCTCATGCCTGTCCCATTTAGGTTGCTGATGACGGTTATGGTGTGTCTTACATTATTGCTGGAGAGTACACAATCTTCTTCCACGTCTCCTGCAAGAGATCCTGCGCAGAGACTGTAAGTATTCTTTTATGTGTCACATCCATCCTTTGAAATATTTACTGTCCATTTTTCAAATTTCTAAATACCAAGTGATACATTTTGATCTTTATGTTCTCTTCTTTATTTATTTATTTGTTTTTGTTTTTTTTTTTCAGAACGCAAAAAGATTTGGTCGGACCATAGTGAAGGCCCTGGATGATTTGAAGAATTTGTTTGAAGTGTGAGGTTCAACCTTGGTACTAATAACGTGTTGTGATCATTCTTTACACATAAGTTTGATATATAACAAAAGCAATGCAATGAATATCTACTTTGATTTTAATGACTGAGAAAGGGGATTCTAAGGAAGAAATTTATTGTGACAGCACACGGTGGTGAAGAGTAATAGACAAGAAGTTTTTTATGATTTCTGACCTCAAATACCAGACATTCAGACATTAGGGATGTACAATTTACTTTAACTATCTCCATAAGCATTTCTTGAAAACTACCCCTAGCTGAAGAAGCAAGCTCCAAGGTTTCTTGATAGCTATTATGGAATGGAAGTGTAATGTTAATGTACTGCTGATGGTGATATGATAACACAAAACAAGTAATGTGTTTCATAGCCTGTATTCCAATTAAATACATTTTCCTTTTTATAATGTCTATCCATGTTCCTAATAGAATTTAGTTATTTATTATTTGCTGTGGTGTTAAGTGATATAATTATTTAAGGTGTACCATAGCATTGTAATAGTTATAAGATTTGTGAAGCTATGAATTGAATTTGTATCACAAACAGCTGCCATTCATTTGAACTACTCATTTGTTTTGTTTGAATTTTATTTGTTTACTTTAAGATTCACTGTGCATTTTAGACAAGAGATGTAATTTTTTTTGTCAAATATCCTTCCTTTAATTTTCCTATATCTTAGTTGTAGTTAATACTGATATTACATAGAACAATGGAAATGAGTCCTATGTGGCAGTATATCTCCATAGCTGTCAGAAACTCTTTGATCTCAGTTTGAAATGAAAATTTGTTCCTGCTGATACGTGCAGAAGCATTTTTTCTTTAGTTCCAAACAGACCATGCCATATTGTCAAAAATTGATATTTGAATTACCTACATACAGTGCACAGACATTAGAGCCATAATAGTAATGTGATTTGTTTCTTTGATAGGGGTGGTGCTTTAATATGTTCAGTATATCACCTTTTTCAATCATTTTGCATACTAAACATTGAACAGTTTTTTTATGTCAAAGAAATGCATACTTGGGATATATGATTGACATTTTATTGAGGAATGAATTTATAAAACAAGAATATTCTTCCGTATGAATTAGGGTAGCATAGATATTAGGTAGTAGTATTAGTAAAATTCAAAACATTCAGATTGAATTGCCAAATACAGTTTAAAACTGGAACATACCAGGCTTGCAGATATGTATCAGAAATGATGAGTGTTGTTCTGTGTTGAAATTATACTCTGTATTCAGAAGTTGCAAAATTAATGCTTGGTAAACGGTGTTTTTATTTATTGTTTATCACTGATCTTTGAGAAATGAAAATCAAACCCAAGGAATTTAACAGGAAAACTATGCCTCTGCTTGTTATATTATTTTTTGTTTTATTTTATTTATTTATTTACTTATAGTATTTTTTGTATTAAATCAAATGTATCTGTATGTGTCAATTTCATGAGAAGCACAGTCATATTGCACAAAAGAGATGTCTCAATATGTCATTTCTCTGTTATGACAAGCTACTTTATCTACATGAGGTTGTTCCTTGGTTTTTATTAGATTCATCGCTTGGTATCATCTGGTATAAAGAAGTATGCTATGAACGACAAAATTAAGTGGATTTGCAGTTTTATTTTTGGTCAAAATATTTAGTCATAACTCCTGTCCATGTTTCATTACATTTCACCTCTTTATCTGTCTAGGCCATGGTGTGAGGATGTTTTATTGTACATATCAGATACTGTCAAAATTATTTTAAAAAAGTAGAACAGTTATAAGACACATTTTGTTTGACAAGCATTTAGTGCACCTGTGTTTTGTGAACTTGTCTAGTCTGTCCATAAGTGGGAATACTCAGATGTTGTCTTCTAGAATTTCTGCGTTTATATACTAATATTATTTCACTGTTTTGGTTTTATCAGTTGTGAGTCTTCCTTTATACTTACTGTGTTTTAATCTTGGTTTAAACCACATAATGGTGTGTACAGTGAGTGAGGTTCATGTGCAAAAAATACACGTTTTAAGAAAGAAACAATAAAAAAGATTTTACACTGTCTTAGTCTGTTGTATTATTATATCAGAAGAGCATAACCTTTACTATTTTTATAACTATGAGGGCGAGGAAAGCTACTGATGGATTGGCATAGTTTATACTAGACCAAGACACCAAGCTTACAACTGAGGACGGATAGCCCCCTCAATTTTCCATTTTTTCGCGAGAGCATTTAGGGATATTTCAAGAGAGGATCGGATAACATCGCCTCAAAATCAATCATTAGGAATTAATGATCTATTCAAAGACGTAATTGCTTGATTTGATATACTAATTTTTTATTTAAAGATTCAATCTTTAACAGCAAAACTAAAAATGATTTTAAATGTCGTTGGAAGTCGATTTGTGGGCAAAGTAAAATCAGTTTATTTTCAGTTTTTAACGCCGATTTTTTTTCTACTTACATTCACCAGTGTCACAAAGAAATGAAATTCGGTCAGTCACACAAATATTAATATTGGCAATGTCAGTTACATCGGTGGACTTAGACCCGGCAGGCTTCAATTACGCATAATTGTACTTATTCTCTTCCTCCCCCTCCTACAAACACACGTGCACACAAAATTGGCTTCCTTCTGCAATCATAATGCGTCGGTAAAGTTGATTAAGTTGTGTTTTAAAAAACACAAGGAGTACTTGGTGTTGATTTCTACGGTAAAAAAATAATAAACTAGATCCAGTGCGGCAATAATGATTTGAGACTTGCCCCCTGGTCACTTGAATGGACTTTCCCTCCGCTTTTACAGACCACTTGTAACACCCACGTGGGCATAGTCATCTCGGAGGGAAATTTGACAACATGAGTGGGAGAGGGAAAGGTGCTCCCAGTAAGAAAGGGGCGAAACAAACCCGATCTGCGAGGGCCGGTCTACAGTTCCCCGTTGGCAGAATACAGAGGTTTCTGCGTAAAGGTAAAGTTAGCCTAAGCAGTGTCTCTTAAACTGACCGAGTTTGATTTTCTATTCTATTCAGATACATTATATTAACCACACCTGGATTTTGAAACGAGGTTTCTGGACCTCTGAAGTAAAGATTTTGCAGATCTCAATGTGAAAACCAATGTATAAAAGACTGCCTTCGTTGCTGGACACGTTCAATGTCTTGAATTATTATAAAATCACTTATAATACAACGACAACATTTCGCTCCAACAAAAGGTCACTACGCTGAGCGTGTTGGCTCGGGTGCCCCTGTCTACTTGGCTGCTGTCCTCGAATATTTGGTGGCCGAGATTCTGGAGTTGGCAGGGAATGCGGCCAGGGACAACAAGAAGTCTCGTATAGTACCTAGACACGTGCAACTGGCCGTAAGGTAGACGCATAACTATCAATATTAACTGTTTTTCCTACCGAAAAACGCCTTTAATATATTAGTTTATCACTTACAATGACGCAGAATGATTTATGTTAATTAAAGCTTTTTTGATTATTTTCTACAAACTTTTAGCATATTTTGTAGATGTGGACTGTATTGACATATGCATGAAATGTACGATCAATACTTATTCACAGTCATTTTTTTTTAATTTCAGAAATGATGACGAATTGAACAAACTTTTGTCCGGAGTAACCATCTCACAGGGCGGAGTGCTGCCTAATATTCAACAAGCCCTGTTACCAAAGAAATCCAGCAAAGGAAAGGGAGGACCCGGAAGCCAGAGTCAAGAATACTGAACAGAACTGCACAACTTTAATCCACTCTCAGGGATGAGACATTACAGAAAAAAGGACACGAATTAGTTATTCATGTACGGATTTATTCAATTCAGGTTTTTTTGATTGATCATCTTTCTAGTGCGTATTTTGTATTTCGTTTCAACAATTTAGAATATATTTTGTAAAAAGACCACTGTGCGGTTGTTTATAGCGACTCTTCTCTAACATCTGCAATAGAATCAAATTAACCACATAGTCGAAACGATTAAAATAGATGCTTTCACTTAATAACAAAATGGACATTCTCTGCGTGTGATTTCAAAAGTCCTTCAAGGCGGATTAGTGACAATTCAGCGTGGGCTTGCCATGGGGGAGTGGCTGCTCTGAGAAATGTTGTCATCCAGTGCAAACTGCAGGCTGTTTTTGTCGTGGGAATCCTCCGAGGGGCGTGGTCCCAGCGCGGTGCCCGATAGCGCGGTTTGTCGCCGCCCAGCTGCGCCCTCTTCAGGCACGGGGGTGAGATTGCGGTGATACAGCATCTGGGGGCTCAAACTGGCAGCGTGGACTTTTTGGTGCTGCCGGGCTTGAGAGAAGTCGATATTTTCTATTTCGATTCTGTCATCTTGCTGGGCGTCGTCCTGCGATGATGGTTCGAATAGAACACGGATAGCCTCCAGCTCGCATTCCTAGAATGATTAGATGAAAATATAATATAATATAATATAATATAATATAATATAATATAATATAATATAATATAATATAATATGATTGATTATTGATCCGGATCACCACCAAATACTAATCACTTCTAAGTAAACCCATTTCTGACCTACCTAAAAATTTCATAAATATCGGTCCATAACTTTTTCAGTTATGTTGATGACAAACAGACAGACAAAAAGGGGTGAAAACATAACCTCTTTGGCGGAGGTAATAATAAAATATTAATAATAATTAATAATATAATATAATATAATGAATGTATGAATTAACAAAATGCTATTATATGAATTTGATAGATTTCAAAGGGCAAAACGAAATTATATTTAGCCAATGAATATCGGACAGTTTAATTCGGAGTCTAAATATTTGATGAATACAGATTACCTGAAGCCCAGAAACCAGTGATTGTCTCTCCGGATCTGAGTTGGTTCTGAACAAAGTGCGGGATGTTTTCCTCAGGATGTCAATGGCTTTGCTGACGCTGCTGGGAACAAGAGTATCCCTGCTTGCGGAATTCTTGGTCGGGATATCGATTCCTTCCTCTCGGTGTTCATTTTTGTCATCAACTTTAAATGGAAATATCCCATATTTAGTATTTCATTTTTTAATTTTTATCCCCTAAAATGTATTTTCTAGGGAGAATATTTCCCTTCTGAAACCGTAATCATACGTATTCCAACTATTCCTTATCAGAATAAGAAAACAAGCTCTATTTTCACTGTAAGGTTAAGGAAGATTGATTAAAAAAATAATTTTCAGATATACATATATGGTTATTACAATTTTCAAAGACCAAGAAATCCCCTGTATCCTCCTCCTCCTCCTTGGTCAACCAATTGTCGTCTGCTCTGTCTGTCTCGGATTCTGGGAACTGTTCGTATGTTTTCCTGGCGGCAACCATCACGTTGGTTGTCTTGGCAGTCCGCTGTGCCCAGGGGACGAGGAATAAAATGAGGGCTCCGAGGATGAGAGGAATTCCCGCCAAGTGGAAGGCCAGGTTATAAGACCCGGTGCTGTCGTATATTAGTCCTGAAATGGAATTAAATAAGAGCAAATCCATGGGTGAAAGTTTTCAGGATTATGTCTGATTTCAGGAAAATCGGTTTTCATTTTGACCGTTTCCTTTTCGAATGGTCTAAATGCAATGCAAGCTACGTTTTTTTTTCAACACTTTTAATTTTTCTTCTTTCACCCATGCAACTAACTGTAAGAAAATCGTCAAATACAGCTAAATTAAACTTCAACTTGGATTGAATAAAAATTGAATTAAATTAAGCCTGAATTAAATAAAAAGTTTTGCCATGTCTTTGTAAAAGTCTCACTAAAAATACTAATTGAAGACATTTTTACCTGCGATTGGTGGTCCCAGCGTGTAAGTTACAGACGTTACACCGACCAGAAATCCCCAAGCCACAACGGCTCGGTCTTGTCCTACAAAACTAGCCGTCAAGGTTGGCAGTAACACCACATAACATCCGTCGACTAGGCCGATAAAGATGACGTAGGCAACCAGCCCTGAGAAGGACCGAATAAGGGGGAGAAGCATGCACCCCGTGCCCGTGACGACCATAGATAATTGATGCATATGGAGGCGGTTCAGGAAGCCATATTCTACAATCTTGCCGAAGAGAACTCGCCCCGTTGCCGTAGCGCCACCCATCACCATCATAAGAAGTGAGGCCTGTGTTGGTGGGATCCCGACATCCATTGCATAGGAGACCTTGGTTGTACAAAAATTTAGCTCAAATTTACTCATTGAAAATTATTTGAATAATAATAATTAGTAAATTATTTCCTGGTTTCTTAATAGAAATGATTGAACATTCACTTTAAAAAACAGCAAGCTACTGAGGTCTTATCTTGTTTTTTTTCTTTTAAGTAATTTAATTAGAATGTTTGAAACAAATTAAAACTTACCAAATGGACGTATGGAATATAGTATCCAAACATGACAAGAAAAATCCCCGCAATCCACACAATGAATACTCTGTTCTTCCACAGGGCCAAGTCGGCGATCACCCGGCGTGCCAATGAAGTCTTGATCCGCTGACTGGGGGTCTTGTGAGAGCCTTCCAATGGTTTGAAGAGATAGGAGCTCCACAGTGGAATTAACACGACCCCCGAAAACACCCTAAAGGCGCCCCTCCAGCCGATACTATCTACCAGAAGTTGGGTAAATGGTGACAGAATGAGGGTCCCTACGCTGCTCCCCGCCGTCATGATCCCCGTGGCCAGTGCGACGTATTTCTCAAAGTAGTCGCCAGAGATGCACATAGTTGGGGTGTAGGCGAAACAACACCCGCATCCGTAGAGGAACGAAAGGGTGACGAAGAGCCAGGTGACGTCGGGCATGAATGACGAGATCAGAAGAGCGATGGAACAGATGATACTCCCTATCATTGCACTTATCCTGTTGCCATAGCGGTTGATGACTGCGCTGGACAGCGGACCGAGGGCCATGGCTACGCCGTATGCTAGAGCTCCAACCCAAGCTTAAAAGATAAATAATCGGGGAAGGGTAGGTACGTAATTATTTCTATTTTTGTGAAAGATGTTTAGTTTGATCGCTTTGTATCAGAAGAGAAAACACTTACGAAAGAGAAATGAGAAATATATACACTTCAGTCTTGAGACAAACTTTTTACCTGTGGTCGCCTTAGAAGATTTGAACTCTTCTAGGAACTTGACAAAGAAAATGCCATATACGTGAAGGAAACCAACAATTAGAACTTGTATCAAAAAGCCGCCAAAGCACACCAACCACGCCCTCGTCCCATCCTTTTCTGGTGTGGGCTGGATAGTGATGTCAATCTCAGTTTCTGTAACTTCTTCATTTTTCGCGTTATTCTCAGGTTGATTAACAGCCTCCCCTGTTGGCCTTGTATCTAAAGAAATAATATCGTATGTACTTTCTTCCTCAGGCGTAAGGGTCTCCATTTTGATATCTTGCTCCATGCTGGTCTTGAAGCTAGATTATCTGGGCAAGAAACCCAGATAATTTTCGGAGCCGCAGAATGGTTACGACATGCCTGATGGAAAGCTGCTGACGAGGTAACCAGTCTTATGACGTCATTATGAACAAACGTCACAGTCCAATGTAAACGTCACAGTCCTATGGCGTCATAATTTTACACTTACTAGTACGCTTTCATTGTGTAAACGTCATTCTCATGACGTTCAATTTATTAATGGATCATAGAATCAAAATTAATCAATCGTTCAGAGTGTTAAAAAATGCTCAATATTGAACACAAGAAGGACCGTCCGTAATGACGACTTCTTCGACTCGTCAAAGCTCCAGTTACTGGGCTGGAAACCCAGGGCAAGGTTTGCGGCAGACGGTTTGATAGTACAAAAAGCATGGGTCAGGCTACTGGAAATAGAAGACTGATAATATTTTATTTATGTAAATGCATCCCCTTCTTTGTAGGTCCTCAGTGTTTGAAAAATACTTCTAAACATTCCGGTATTCCTGCCAAGGGTTATACGTAGGGAGTTTCGAAAAACTTTTATTTTACACACTTTTTATAGGTCATTTTAGATAATGGGTGTGTTTTCAAGATATGCCCTAAGAGTTCTTTATGATCACTGTTAAAGGTGCGTTTTTGTTCTGTAGTTTTAATTGCATTAGGTTAACCGTCCTTGTGTTTATTTCCTACGAATCACTTAGCAATATGACGGGTTAGACAACTTCTTGGTAATATTTTTCCTGTTTTATATATAGATATAGATTGATTCAGCATTGAATGTGTCAATTAAAATTTTAATCCCTTTAAACTATGTGGATTTCGACAAAGGCGTTTAATTTCTGTTTAACTCATCAAAGTGATAATTGACAAGATAAATTTATACCTCAAATACATCAAAACTTTGTTTATGCATGTGTTCTTTTCTATTATGAAGGTGTCAAAACAATGTGTTTAGGCGCGTATTCTACAAACTTCTTGACATATAGGTAACATCTTACAAAGGGTTAGTTCCGCCCCAACCGCAAATGCTCCCATTGCTTTTTAATTAACTTTAAGAAAGTCACACGGTTCGTTCTAGTCTTTTCAGGATGTGTGCGAATTAAAATTTGATTATGTCAATGGTATAGGTTGAATATGACCTGATCGGCGAAATCCACATGATTCTATTGTTGTGCCCAAAACCGCTCTTAGATCCTAGTCCACTGCAGAAGTACTCGGCGGTGCTACTCTATCGACAGAGGCTTTCTCAGCTCAGAGCTTTCTTGCATAGCCTAGTCGGAGTTTTGTTTCATAATCTGACGTTTTCATAAAGAAATATATCAGTGCAGTGCATGCATTTTTTTCTTTTCTTTTCATTTCGGTTAAAATGCTAATACTTGACCGACTTTGATAGTTTATCTATTGTCTTTCCATCTATTCAATTCTATTCTAATAGATCTAGTAGGTTTATTAATTCTATCAGTGCATTTTTATATTACGGTAGACTGGTGTAGTATTTTTAAGGTCGTTTTTTTTGGATTAATATAACTAACAGATCAAAAATGACAGCTGACCGTGAGCAGAGATGATGTCCGTACAGTTATTCTCATAAACGATTATTACTTTATTTGTATATATATATATATATGCCAGTTCGAATTGCATTATTATCGCCATTTCTGTGTTGCTGAAGATTAAGCGTGCACAAGCTCGTGCACACACACACACGCACTAAAACAATCTGCTAAGCTACTGATTGCAGCAGAGAAGATCATTTCTGTTCTTTTCCAGATGGCGCTACATGACGGTTTGGTTTGTCAAACCTGGTAAAAACTACTCAGATTGTAGCATGCAGCAGACCATATAAGGATAGCCAGTGACCTACATTATGCCGTTTTACTTTGGGGTGTGTAAGGGTCTGAAGTTTAATTCAATTAATTTAATCTAGAGCATTTTGAAATATGCAGGAAACAAAAGCTGCCTGTGCATTGCTATTTTAGTGCATTGTTTATCAAATTCTGTCTTTCAAATAATGTTTATTGAAAAATAGAAAGGGCGGTCACTCAGCTCTTCCTGCCTCCTACCCCGATGGATCATTTGAAACCTGAACCCTTGGAAGAGATGTCACTTTTTCAGTTCTGAGTGACCAGGGTGTGGATGCAAGGCGATCAGGATACTAAGTATATGGATATTTCAGTTTTAACCGATTCAACGAAACGTTCTAAGACAATGGATTTAGGTATTTGTCGAAAACTTATATTTGATGAATTTAAAAATGGGTTTGACGCCTGTATTTGTCAAACACTGGGTTTTACCATTCACCAATATTTCCCCTCCTGATATTTTGTGTCCTCCATGTCTCCTTTATTTCATCACGTACCTCAACAGTGAAAATTGCAGTTGTGCTTCACGTTAACTACACTAAATTTTAAACTACATCGGTTGAATTAGTAGTGGCAGTAAAGTTTTACATGCGAATGTGTCAAGATGGGGAAAATTCTGTTGAATGGTTCCTTTAAAATTTTGGCTGTTGAAATTTAGTGAGTTGGTAATAATAAAACCATGTATCATAATAACAGTACGGCAAAATAGTCACTATTGAAATTTAAAGAACCGGATAAAGGTTTAGTGATGTTCTTCCATTTCTAATTTTGGTATGATTTCACAAATAATCCATTGAAGTATGTGACCTAGTTAATAGTTACACTGCTTTCTGCGTAACTGATTATGAAAGCAGCCATTTTCAAGGCATAAGGGGAGAGAATTGCTAGCGCCAGTTTGCAAGCAGTGCTTGAACGTAATTTTGATATTTCTCATTACTGGCTTATGTAAATATCACGTCTAATCAAAACGCTCTGTTCAAAGCAATTTACCACGATTTTTACCTCTAAACTTTAAAGCCTCTTGTAAGAAAAAAAATCAAAATACAGCATATTTAACACTGCGTAGTCATTAGTATCAAAACTTGGTTTAATTCGCCAAGGAAAAGAACCGCCCCTTATGCCTTTAAACACGTCTTACTGTAATTATAAGTCTGTGTTTACCTCCTTTGTAAAACTACTAGTATTTGCAGTAATCTTCAGCAAGGCAGCAAGTTGTGACTTGACGTTTATTTCAATGCTCAAGAATATAATGCTCAAAAATACGGTGAAACCTATTTTCCTAGTCCAGGAAAACTCGCAAATAAAGCTCAGTTTGACCTTTTCTTCAAAAGACGAATAAGTTACCTTGAAAGCTCTGTTCACGTAATTTTGCACATTTGGTGATATATGTTACTTTTTTCACGTTTTTTTAAAGTGCTTTGAATAAATCATACTGAAGCAGTCTTAAGTTATTGATCCTGTAAATAATACATAATGAGTTCAATCCACTTTTAAAATTGTTTAATGCTTACTTGACAAAATTCAATGAAAAGACAAATTTTTTCATATTTTTCGTAACTTAGCATTTACAATATTTTCACTCCCTTCGAACTCCTAAATCAGACCTTAAATAAAAAAAATCTGGAAATTTCAGCAATTTAATTCTTTAAGTTTACTTTATCGAAAAACTGTTTCGATCTGAAAACCCTGTTTGGGGTTCCAATTTTCTACAATTTTATCGCCACGTGTGAAATTCACAAGTTTCTATCTCCATAGCGAGGTTGACTAAAAAACTAGTTACTTAAAGAGCGTATTTGTATAATCTTTTAAAGCTTGAAAACTTGCCGTCTTGTTGAGTGAAAAGTGCCATTTTTTTAAGGACCACAATCGATCATTTTGTTTGAGTAATGCAGTATATAAAGTATATAAACACATTTAAGACAAAATTTACGAAAATCACATGTAGTTGGCTAATCTAAGTCTACCTGTTAAACTGTGTATAAAAAGAACATGGTTATATTAAACAATTTTTGTTATTTAACTAAATTTGCTCATCTGGATTGTAATCTTAATGTTAACGATTTTTCTAAAGTTCGGGTGAATAGTATGTGCAATATTTTTGTTATTATTTGTTAAATTATGACTTGCATTTGTGGCATTAATTTGTTGAAAAGATCTTACTTTTACATAAAGATGAAGGGAAAAGTCATGTGATCTTAAGTTATAACCCATTTTCAAAACTTCTGCTTTTTAACAATTCTATCTCAGCAGCATCTTCAGTATATCAAGCAGCAGGTGCAGAATTGATGTTTATGTTCTCACATGATTTATGTTCAGAAAGTTGCAAACCATTTGTTACAAATTTTGAATATAAATGCAAGGTAGTAGTATAGGTAGTATAAGTAATATCATGATTTGCCCCTCCATTTTGCCTAGGTTTGATAGTTACACGTTGAAATTGCTGAAATGCTTTTTTTCAAGAATCAATGTCTCTAGGGGATTTTTTTCACATTCTCATTAAAGTGTATCTCTTGTAGTGTATTTGAACGTATCGGTTGCTGTAAAATGTTGAAATTTATTTCAGAAACGGCTTGTGACAATTTTTTTCAAAACATAGTAAAAATGCGTTTTTTCCTTCCAAGCAATAACTGCCGGAATTTTATGTTGTATTAAATGTAGAAAAAGCCATATCCTGAAATAAATTTCACAGCACCTTATGTTTAAAATTATCAAAAACAATGGCAGATACCGGTACATGGTATTTTGAATGGGGGTCCTATTTTGAAATTCTTGGCAAATTGGAGTATTTTTGTTACCTGTAAAATAATGTGATATCAGAGTGAGTCTCTTTCGCTTTTTCCTGCGGTGGTGTGGGGTGAGAGAGCTTCGACATCTGCCGTTGTTTTTGTTAAAAATGAAATTTAAAAAAATCTGACTGTCATTTTATCTGAAATAATTTGTTAAATATATAACAAGATCAAACATTAGCCAAGTAGTTCATTAGATTAGTTTATTTATCAAATCATACTTGAGCAAGTCTTAATGCGCATATCAATATTTTTGTTTTAAATATCTGAATATTCAAAACTTCTTGTGATTAAAATATTTAAAAAAATTTTTTAAATCTTTAACAAGTAGATGTTTG